AATAAATAAATAAATAAATAAATAAATAAATAAATAGTCCTTGTTTTACGAGGGTAGTTTTTTATCTTTATCAAAACCAAGTGATTTCTTTTTAATATATATATATATATTGATATTATTCATTACAGATATAAAAGAATAGTGTGAAATACCTTAGTATATTCAACTAGCTTCCAATCTACATCCTTAAAGAAAGGTTGTTCTCTGACTTCGTGCGCTCTGGTGGTAAAAATAAATTGTTAACTTCAAATACGAAAACTTATGTAAAAAGGATCATTAAATATTGTTTTATGAGGACAACAAAATGCGCACAACCAGTTCTTCCCAGATGCAACGTCTACATTGCGCGCGCAAAATATATCCTCCTTTGTGGAAACACGTCACCATTTATTGTTTGTAATGGCTGAGGATACTGCCATTGTCCTCTTGCAGTCACAGCCTGTTGTACTTATTTTACCGGAACACTTAAATGGGTTCTACTTTTAACCAATTAAAGTTAAGATAATGCACACTTACTATGCGACGAAGCGAGAACTGGATTTTGGCAAGAGGTTCAGTAAATAATTTTCAAAAACTTTCTATGAAATTTCGAAATCATGATTTTTCCTTAAGAAATAAAATCTAAAATAGTAAAATACAGCGGAATTCGACTTTTCAGAGTATTGGCCCAACATGCTTAGATGCACACGCAAACTTAGAAAAATGTATTCAGTAGAAGAAACAGTAACCTACCCTCTGCCCATGCAGCCGAGTCTGTTTGGCACGTCCCTTTCAAGCAATCCTGCCAGTACTCCTTTCATCTCTTCTGTAAATGTTTCTGGATATTCCACATCCTGAAAGAGAGCACAGTGAATATATATGATAAGACGATTTCTTCAAGGAAAAAATAATTCTTTTGAAGTCACAATTAGTAAAAAAAGAGAAAAATAGATAACTAAAACGTCATATGAAGGACAATGCTCTATCGTGATACTATACTACAAAGAGGTAATGAATAAACGAATGAATGAATGAATAAATGAATGAATAAATAAACGAAAGAATAAATGAATGGAATCGAATGAAGATGGGAATGAATGGACGGACATGCCGACAAAATAAATGATAAATAATATATAAAGTTAAATGTTTTTATTCCTCAGTTCAAGGGTTTTGTTTTTAGTATATTACTGAGCTAATAAACACAATCTCTGAAAATAAGGAAGCAACCCAAATACAACAGATAAGGTCAATGTAACTTACATAAGTAAGGGTTAATCTGTCAATCTCGTGTTTGTCTTTTGTCTTGTGCTGTCGAAAGGGACTGTGTCTGTGAAGGAGATAAAAGATATTCAATGATAGCTTACAAAACGATAACTCGTGAATCTATGGCTCTATATTGAGAGTTGAGGGCCATTTTTTATATTTCCTATCTCCCTTCTTTTATTCTGTCTTTTCTTTTGTACCAAATTTTTTCCCGTATTTCCCCGTTATTCCTTTATTCCTAGTATTCCATTGTCACTTTAACCCTAGACAATTTTTTTTGACATGACAAACTTTTTAGTTGCCCGTCATGTTTTAATCAGAAACGATGTTCTGTAACATAACTTACCCTACAAGCAGCTTAAACAACATACATCCCAGTGAGAACCAGTCAGCACACGAGTCATACGCCTCTCCTTTTTTAAGCACTTCTGGTGCCATGTACCCATGAGTACCGCTGTCATTGAGGAAAAAAAAATCTATCAGTTTGTCATAGGTGAAAATCATCGAAAATGTGTAATCTCAAAAGCACAACAATTGTGGAATTCAATCCAGCGATATCTTAGTGAGTGAAAGCCTGAAAAGACTGTAAATATCGCGTTTGCAAAGCAAGTAAATGACCAGAAAACATTAAACGAATAAAAAACTGGCAAAAACGCATCATTTTATCAAAGCAAAGTTAAAATTAATCTTGAAATTTGTACCTTTTTTCACAAAAGAAAAAACTACCACCAACACGGTACTCAAAACTGGTTTCAAACTTAACAAAAAATGGCGCGAAACTTTGGTGGCGCACGCGTGCACCTGTAATTTCAGTCACATGATCGAAATTCTAGTTAACATTGGTCAATGGTTCTGGTGCTAAAAAAGGCGCGAAAATTATTTGAAGAAAAGTCGGGGAAAATTAAACAATATATTTTTCCATTTTACAGAGAAAGAACCAAAGACAATTATCAATTTTTATCCTTTTTTTGGTTCTTGTAAAGATACTTACACACTTGCATGAGGTTTTTTTTTCGAGAAGTCACAAGCCAGACCCAAATCTGATATCCGTACGTGTCCATGTTCGTCCAACAATATGTTGGCAGGCTTTGAGAGAAAAGAAGATCACGCATGAATAGCACACTCGAATTATTTTGAAAGGTAAAAAAATGCACTTACTTTTAAGTCTCTATAGCATATCTTTCTTTCATGCATGTGTTGAAGTCCGAGGATGATTTCAGAAGCGTAAAATCGAACCTTGCAACGAAAGAAAGAACTATAAGAATTGAAAATGAGAGTTTAGTTTGTAGAAATTTGTTTTGTTGCTTCTCCATTTTTCTTTTATTTAATTATCATTTCAGTAAGAATTTACTTCATGGATAATGATTTTATTTTAAAAAGAATTACAATAACCACTGAAATTTGTACTTTGGGCACAGCTATCCAGATAAGAAAACCACAAAACCATACAAAAAGTCTTAAATTTTAGATTTATATTATAAATCAGTTAAACTGATTTTATTTTTATAAACTACTTACAGCACTTTCATCAAAAACGCCATGTTGTGAGAGATGGTAGTGTAGATCCCCACCTTTAAATAACAAAAGAATTTGTTGGCCTTAAATCAAGCTTTAATTAAGTGTAATAATAATAAAAACAATAATCATCAACAATTATTATTATCATCATCATCAGCACCATCAATCATTGTCAGCATAGTTATCAACATCACCATCACAATCATCACTATTATCATTATCATCATCATCATCACTATTATCATCATCACTATNCATCATCATCACCATCATCATCAAAACTAATATTAAAATGTATTAACAGTTTTCATACCATTCATTAAATCCAGTACAAAGCACAGTTTATCAGGTGTTTGAAAAGCATATGTCATGCACACAATGAAGGGGGAGTTGACCTATAAGCAATATTTATAATCAATACATTAATGAAATCTTAAATTTAACGAATTCCCTATTTTCTAATCCTAATGTCAGAGCATGAGAGACAGAATAGGAAAAAACGATAATGGAATAAGAATGAAAACGATTTTATTCAAAAGTGATATACTCTTCTTACCATTGACAGCATTATCCTTTCATTCAATGCAAGAGTTTCACCCTGTTTTAACTTAATTCTCTTTTTGTCTAAGCATTTCATTGCATACCTACAACAAAAAGTCATAAAATGGAATAGTTTACAGTATGTTGCTAGTACTAAAGTAAGAGTCATTGCCACAGTATAATTATATCAGTCAAGAAAATGGCTTTAAAAATGAGGACAGTGAATTACCTTCTTAATTAGGAACATAATGAAAGCATTTATAAAGTAAATCCCCTGGGGAAAGTGCTTTCCAAAGATGATTAACCCCTCCCACCCCTACAGGGGATAGATTTAAATTATTGATTCCAATGTAGAGTACAATCTCAGTAAAAATTTAAAATCTTACATTTTTCCAGTGTCAGCTTTCCTGCAGCCATAGACCTCTCCAAATCCACCTCTACCAATAATTCTATGTACGCTGAAGTCATTCATTGTAAGCTGTAAAATTAATCATATCATTCATTAGTACTTTAGATCTTAAGGCGCTGTGAATTTTAATTGGATTATATATGCACCTTGACAAAATTAAAATTCAAGCCATTTTCTAGTGGTTTTGGTTTTCCATAAATAATTATGGGAATGAAAAGAAACTTCTAGAGTCATTAGAAGTAAAATTAATTTGGTGAAATCTTCAATAATGAGGTATCTTCCCCTCTATTGACTATGATCTTACGTAACTCACATTAATATTCAGCTCTAGGTTCTTCCACTGACAGAACCTCACAAATCTGTCACTATAAATTAAAACAATAAAAACAATCAAGTTTATAATTGTACAGAATTTTCCAGAAAATTACCAGGATTTTTCACTGTCTAGTGGTTGCTATGCAGAATTCAGTAAGACAAACTATAAAAGTTATGATTTAAGAAAATCATCTCTGCTTTGATTCAAATTCCACAGATATGCAAGTTGAGTTTGTTTGATTTGTTTATCTCTCCTATGCATCTAATTTCAAGGGGTTTTCGCTGGGTTTTCGGGCTTTCCTCTCTCCATAAAAAATATGTTAGTCAATTGTTGTGTTGTAAATAGGGAATGTAGTGGTAGTGGAAAAACCCCTTATTTGGAGTGATGGTTAAATTTTTTTTTTAATTCTATTGATTAAGTGAAAGAAAAACTTTTTTTTCTTATAGTATCATTAAAATCCCGTTAAATACCTTTTCAGAAATTTCTGGAAAATAGAACCTCTCAGACTATCTCGTATTTCAAGCATATAAGGCTGTAAAAGAAAATCAGTCAGATATACGAAATCGAGAAATAAAATCAAAATGAATACCCAAAAGCTTTCATTAACAGACTGAAGTAAGATGATGATGATGATGATGATGATGATGATGATGATGATGATAAAGATATTTTATATAAGTGCCAATTCCAAGAGTTCAACAACGCTTCACAATTTTAATATGATGACAAAAATATGGTTTTAATATATTACAAAGGCTGTCTGGCCAGAATAGACCCCTTTCGAATTCCAAATTGCTGCTGTGTTTCTTGACTACAGACTCATTTGCACAGGGTTAGCCTCGAGTTTGTGTAGAATATTCACRTGTTCCAGTCAAGGTCYGTCGAGTTTCAAAATGTTTGTATTGTTGAAGTTGTGCATTCTTTACTTTTCTTTTGGTATTTGTGAATATTTAAACACTGATTCGAGGCTAACCATGTGCAAATAAGTCTGTAATCAAGGAACACAGCAGTAATTTGGAATTCGAAACTGGTCTATTGGAACTAATGTCTGGTCAATTCTTTGCCTTGCCAGTCATTTTGACTACTAAAGTTTAGCCAGAAAATAATAAGGTATGACTACAAGCTAAAACTTTTGGACTGAGAGGATAAGAGAAAAATATCAATTGCCCTTGGCGGGAAACGAACCCACGTCTTCGGTATTCCAGTCCAATGTGTTAACCAATTTGGACTGAGATCATTCCCAGAGACTGATCGGCCATTATTTGAAGCCCTGATAAAACCTGAATTCATTCTGTCTGCCGATTGTTTTGTAACCTTCACCTTTTACTTCCTTTGATCAATGAGACTAGCATCTGATCAATAGAAGCCAAAATACCAGACATCTTAAATACTTTAATGATAAAAAATGTGCTGTCATAAATTTTAAATTACAAAAATGAAAAACTTTTACTTAAAATTTAAAAAATTTAGAAATTTTTTTAACCACACACCCAGAAAGGACGATAATTATAATATACAGATTGTCTTGAATTTTAAAGGTATTATTAATTGTAACAATTATAAAAAACTATATATCAATGTTATTATAACAATTTTAAAAGTTTGTGAATATATATTAGACATTTACCTCAAATAAATTTGATGGCAACTCTTTTTTAGTAATATGTACTTGCACATGCTGAAGAGCACTGAATGAGAATGACTGGAAAAACAAAATGAATTATGTCCAAATTAATAATGAATTACAATTGTGAGAAGTACTTGAAGAGACACCAGGACATCTTATATTAAGTTATAACAAAAATTAAAGATACTTACATGAGAGCAAGCCAGTAATTCACACATGATGTACTGGTCAAAGATATTCCTTGCCAGTTTGAGTTTATCTTCCTGAGACTGGCACTTCTCATATTCTCTTATCTGTCAGAACATTTCCAGAAAATTACAAAAAAGGTTGATTATTAATAATTTAAAGTTAGTTAATTAGTTGTTTAGTCACTCACTCAAATGCTCTGAGAGTCAGTAGTCAGTCAGTCAGCTGTTCCCTTCCTGACTTTGATCTGACCAGAGTTACTGACTGACCGACTAACTCACAAACCTCTATCTCTATAATATAGATTTTCTGTGCATAATTAACATATAGCTTAGTATTCTCTTCTCATATGCACCTGTGTACATAAATATTGCATCATTCATTGCTGCTCATGGCTATTGTTATTCAAATGCACCTGATTTATCAACCACAACAACTGACAACTGATTCCAGTGACCTAACTTAATAGCCTCTATAAATTTATTTTCAAGTATATATATATTTATATCAGAGTTATGCAAAAATAAATATGGAACAATTAAATTTTTTGCACCTCAACACTGATATCAATATATGTACAGATAATATTAAAATATGTTATGAATATTGAATTACAGCTTACAACCAACCAAATTGCAGATTTACAGAGTGGGAATATATGGTCCTTTGTTGTTTGGGATCATAGTGGCCCATGTGGTTAAGTGTTGTGGCTATTGTTCATTTATTATTTTTAAAAACAGAAACCACATTTTTAGGAATTGTACAAAGTTATATGGCACCTTTTATTTCCTTGACATGCTCACATATTGAAATATAAGGACATAAAAACTTTCAAAAAGCCACATATTTTTACTCCATGATGTTTCAAAACACTTAAATGCTTTATCAGAGTTTAATTCAAAACATTATGCTCTATCCTCATGATGTAATACACAATATCAATTATTTTTTTGTTTTAGAGCACTCCATTTAGTGGGGCTTGGGCTTAAAGAGTGCCTCACTGAAAAGCATTTGTGTGAGTTTACCTTTCATTGGCAAAACATAACAAATAATATTGGGAAGGCTAAAACTAGTCTCCCAACAACCCAGCATACCAACATTCTGCTGCCTATAAACATGTATAAGAAGTCTTGAGAAGTCATGCTTCATAGGTTAGGTATTGGACTACTAGCTTTGTTTTTATTCTAAATATGTATAATAATATTTTCTTGCTAAAGCTAGGACAAAGAAGATTGTCAAACAATTTCAAAACACTGTAACTCCAGGATATTTAATGCTGCAAGATGATATCCTATCAGTTTCAYATTTTATTGACCTCTAACCTCATGTTATTGCCTCCAAAAACAAAAGATAATTATAAACTGTTAGTTCAAATATATATTCATCATTGAATGGCTTACATGTCTAATCGAGGGTATCAGTAAAATCCAGTCATATTATTATAATTCTGTATTCTTATAATAATAACAATGATAATAATAATAATTATTATTATAATTATGGCAAGTTTTATTTGTCTGTATATATCATGTTTACATTGACCAGCGGACTAAGTCTAGGCTGGTTAAGTTCATCATTTTTTTTCAATCCTTTCTTCA